TGCAGCTAACTTCATCATGTCGCTATTTGGCTGTCGGTGTGCCCGCGCATCGTAAAAATTTTACACTCAAATTTTTTTCCAAACGTGCCAAAAGAAGTATAAATTCAAAATTCGTTTAAAGTATCTTACTCACTGGCATTTTTTAAATTATAATATATAGTATGTTCAAAGAGCTAACCTAAAGAGATATTCTAAGAAAAAAATGTGCGAAATTTTTAAGTAAAACTTTAACTACAATTCGTTTTGTTTTAAAGAACCGTTTACACAAAGGTAAAGCGGCAATGCTTTAGATTATAATTATATCTATAAAAATGAACATTTGTGCGTTAATCTGTTTGGATCGTATAAATTTCTAAACCATTTACCGTTATATTAACAATAAAATATTATTTAGATGTTTTGTCTTCATACAACAATCTTACCGGTTCCGACTTAGTTTATCGGATATTTTTAAAATCAATCTGAATACACCTTAAAGTGTTAACTTTATATTCAGCATTTATACGCACAAGTATATTTATGTGTTTATTTTGTTGTTTTAGGTTTTATAAATATAGATATATGAGTGTCTTTTTAAATATAAGCAAAGCCATGACGACGCTCTTGTATTTTATGATTTGTACTAAATAATACACATTAAAATCATCCTTTATAGCTATAAATTTTTACCCCGACATGTTTATTGGTCGAGCAGGGCCTTTATTTAAGCTATATAACTGAAGCCTTAAACGGTGTCTAAGTAGAAAGACCTTTGGTGTACCTTTGAGCATATAGTAATGACAAAGACGTGCTAAAAAAGTGAAGTTTTTGTTATTTAATTAGACTTAGGCTTATTTCGTGTCAGGGACACTTAATTTATTTTATTGAAAAAGTATATTTACACTTATTTACTACGCTAGTTACGTTTTAACGTTTTGTATAGATTTCCTATAGAAGAGATATTTTCTCGCAGCAAAAAGTATCTTATATGTTGACTCGGACACCCAGCTATTATCATACCTAATTTCATCAAAATCTCTCCAATAGTTTTCTCGTGATGCGTTTCCAGACCATTCTGTATTGTTAATAATGACTATTTCAATAAGATTTTTCAAAAAAAATATTTAATGTACAGATTCGACTCAGAATTTTATTACCATTACTAATATTATAAAGAGGAAAGATTTTTTAGTTTGTTGGTTTGTACCGTATAAGCTCCGAAATTACTTAACCGATTCAGATGAAAAGAAAGAAGGTAGTTTGAGACCCTGGGAAGGACATAGGATATTTTTTATTCCGGAATTCACCACCCCTTAAGGGGGTGAAAATGGGGATGGAAGTTTGTATGGTTGTATAGGGACGAACCCGAGCGAAGCGAGGGTGAGTCGCTAGTATGTAATAAGTATTCAGCCCTTTTTGACGTCCCACTGCTGGGCACGGGCCTCCCTTCAATACGAGATGGATCAGGCCATAGTTCACCACGCTGGCCAAGTGCGGGTTGGCGGACTTCACATGTCTTTCGAAAACTTGCTAAGTTCTCTAAGGCATGCAGGTTTCCTCACGATATTTTCCTTCACCGTTAAGACAAGTGGTAATCATGTTGGAAATGATTCGCACATGAAAATATCAGAGGTGCGAGACTCGGGATTTGAACTCGCTTCACTCGGTTTCCCAAGCGAGCGTGTTACCACTGGGCTACCACTGCCTTATGTATCTATGTAATAGATACATAAGGCAGTGGTATATATGTATGTATGTAATAGATTAAACGGAAATGCTAGGGATCTGACACTCCACAAAACAATGAGAATAAATCAGAAGATGTTAAAAAGTACATACATTATTTACAAAGATTATAAAAGTTACCAAAAATCCTATTAGAATTTATATACGAGAACAAAACAAATCTTCACGTATTTAAAATTATTCTTCCCCTTTGAAATGCCACTGACGCTTACAATTTAATTTAACTTCGCAAAACAAATTTGGCCTCTATTTACATAATATTAAACATCAGAATCCTGCGCATACTCAGCTCTATACGGGATTTTTCACAGAAAATTTTGATACATTTCAATAGTTGCGAATATTCCTTCCTTCCGCATTTTCCTACTAAATCTTGCTACGTTGCATATTTACTACGTATTCCGAAATAAGTCAGATTTTCTTCAGAAGCTCAATACTTGACCTTTTCACGTTTCTGAAATACTGAAATATAAATAACATTTTATTAGATGTGATCCCACGATTTAGCACTTGAGTTCACTTTAATGCATATTCCGTTTTATAGTTAAGTTAAAATATAACTTAAAGTAAAATATATTTTCTTCATGCGGATGATATGAAACACTTTGTATTGAAAATCTTTGGCAGACCTATTTTCCGGAGTAGTCGACTTTCAGCTAAGTTGATAATAATGATAATTAAATAAATAAATACGTTGGGACATTAACACACAGCACCATCTAGTTCCATGGTAAGCTACGAGGCTTGTGTTATGGATACCAGATACTTGATACATATTATAAATATAAACACCTATGACTGGAGTACAAACCTTCGTCGTCACACAAATGAATGTCCAGCGGGACTCGTACCCGCGACCGCCGGCACAGAATGTAGGGCCACTACTAACTGAACCAAACGTGTCGTCAAACTTATATCAAATGTATAATTAACATTTTTGCATTAAGTTATTCTGCCAGCTTGGAAAGATGGTTTACTTTATTTGGATGTACCTATGGTTTTCCTACAAATGTAACACGATACTCGTATATTTGCAAATTGTGAACTTATTTTCGTGAATATGGTTTTATATAAATTTTGAGGAAAATTTCGATTAACACGGGCGTTGTAAAATTTCCTTTCAAGTGTTTTTTTTTTATTATAAAATAAATATTGTATGTATATTATTTACGACAAATACAATTACATCTATACCCAAAAATAATATTTAAAATGTGATGACAAAAAGAAACTTTTCTATCTATTCTAGAGATCACCTCTCGAACTTTTTCAGCCACGGCGGCCAATCTCTTTGAGACTAGGTACTTGTTACCATACTATTTAAAAAAAATGATTTTAAAGTTTTCAATTAATTCATCGATATTAGTAAACTAAAAAAATGACTTTAGTGTGGTCTTATATTAATGTATGATGTATCATGTAACATATTTACATTTATAACTGTAGTTTTGTTTCTATTCTATTACTATTATCGCAATAGACAATAGACAATTAATTACTATTCCATTTATTTTACGTTAATAGATTTTCTAACCCTTCATGTACCCTTTCTACTTTAAGCCACAAATGTGATGAAACGAAAGGTCTGATAATAGAATCCTTATAAGAGAATGTTGCTGTGGATCGTGATTTATGATCTCATTGACCCTATTGGAATTACCCTATTCGAATGAAGGGAGTTATCGGAGTATTGAGATGTTAAGGGAGCCCTTTGTCTGTGTGTTGTGTGGAAACGATAGATTAAGATGTGTAAGGTTATATTTGAGTAATCTAAATTAAATCTTGGGGCTTAGAGAAGCTGTCATTCTACAATCGTTGAATGATAGAAATTAAAGATGTATCGAAAAGATAAATTTAATCGATATAATATAGAATCGTTGTATATTTTTCTTTAGAGATTTTAAAGTACATTGAGTGATAAATGATTGTAGATAGTCCTCTTATTTTGTTTGCCAGAACTTATTTACTTTCTTTACTAATGTGTTGATTAATTAACGCATTAATAATGAATTATTTAGAATATTTATTTACATTTTTATGGATTTTTCATTTTATGGATTTTTGGTAGAAATATCTCAACAAATTATAGTAAAAATCTGAAAAGTAAAATTTATAGTATATTATCATCGTCGATATATGATGTAAATACTGCTATAGAATTAGCAAGTTTATAATTTTATGACTACCATTTGTCTTACGGTGAAGGAAAACATCGTGAGGAAACTTGCATGTCTGAGAGAACCTAGCAAGTTTTCGAAAGACATTCTGGAGTTCGGACTTCACAGTCTGCTGAATACATACATACAAATCATGCAGTGCCAAGATATTTTTTATATGCTATAGAAAATATAAAAAAATTGCAAAAAATGTATATAGGTACTCCTCCGTAAGTCATTATTCAAGAAAGTTTTACATATTGTGTAAAAACCTTTTCGTCCACTAGTACATGTCTTAATGTTACTTACGAAGAACAAAAATAAAGTGATCACTGATTTATTGTAAATGAAATCGTAGTATTTAAAGCTCTTAAAATCTATTCTTCTAATCTTTTTTTACAAGACTGTATGAAGTGGTAGTAAAAGTAAAAGTCAAGTATCTTATTATATCCCCAAATGTAACATATAATATAATACATGTAAAATACATATAATAAAATTCTAACTGAGTGGAGTCTGTACATTAAATATTTTTTGAAAAATAATAATGACTATTTCAATAAAATAGCCATTATTATCGATACAGAGGCCGAATCTATAGTTTTTAGAATTTTTGTCTGTCTGTCTATCTGTCTGTCTGGGAACGCATCACGAGAAAACGACTGGACTGATTTTAATGAAATTTGGTACGATGATAACTGGTTATCCAGGTCAACGTATAGGATACTTTTTACTGCGGGAAATTATCTTATCTCTAAGAAATCTATACTAAACGTTAAAACGTAACTAGGGACGAACCCAAGCAGAGCAAGGGTGAGACGCTAGTACACTATACGTACGTCAAATTAGTAGAGGTCGAATTTACTACTAATACACCGTAATGTTATAAGCTGATATACAAAAATGTGAAAATATTTAAAATACTTATGTAATAAAAGAATCAAGGTAATTAATATAATTATTTTCAAAAAATTATAAACACACAAATATTATACACACAAAGCTTTCTAATTTTCTAAAATGCTAAATAAAAAACACGTACATATATGAAAGTTCGTAAAAAGAACAAAGTTAGTAAAAACCACGTATATAAATACTAATTAAAATTTTCTTTTTCAGGTATAATTAATAAGACGAATATAATGCCGACGCCGGACCTCTGTGTGATAAACAATAGATTGTTTTGGGTTTTTGGGTCCCTTGTAGCATTCTACATACCCATGTTGATGATGGTGGTATCGTTCGCGCTGACTGTCCAACTACTGAAACGGCAAGCAAGGCTGGCAGCAACTCCTGTACCAGGAGGAACTCAAAGAAGGTGAGTGTTAGACTTAGGACCAATTTAAACTAATTAATTAATATTAAAAAAATATATATAAACTTAGTGCACAGATAAAATTCAATAATTCAATTTAAAGTTTTTAAATTGAAATAACATATAGACTATAGGTTAGATAGTATGTCGCTAGTCTACTTAATAAAAAAAAATAAGCACTCTTTTTGTTAAGAAACAAAATAGATGCACGTTAAAATTCGGAAGTTTTACGAAGACTTCTACGAAGTGAAAAATTTTTTTTTTAATCTTTATTTGAAGGACTTGTTCACATAACAAAAAGCGAACATGTCGTCCTTGTAAATTTTACACATGGACAAATAACGAGTAAATACTTAATTATAAATAAAATTATGCACAGAGTAAAGAATACATAATATAGAAAAGATTCTACTAGTTTAGCTGACATAGCAATATTATACTAATTTAATATTATTAGAGATACAAATAATAATAATTATGTAACGTCTTGACTAGATGTAACACGTAAGCCAACCTTGGTTAATTTGTACAAAGCTTTGGCATGATCTGAACAAGGATTTGCTAACATTATGTTACAGCTACCAATTTGTTTTAATTCGTGATAATTGTTAACAAACATATTTCTCCTCATGCGTTCGTTCCGAGTACATTCCACTAAAATATGAAACACATCTTCGGTTTTTCCACATTTAGTGCATTTCGGTGATACGGCTTTATTCATCTTAAACGCGAAATAATTCAGTGGAATATGCCCGGAACGCACTCTTAACCCTGTCACAATAGAATTCCTGTCTAATCTACAAGACTCAAACCAAGGCAAAGAATACGGGTCAGATCTCAAGATCCTATACCAAATCCCTTTATTTACCGATGTATTTTGAAAGTGTGCGGTCCACAACTTATATACATATTTTGTCTGTCCACAACTTATATACATATTTTGAATGTCATTAATAGAAGGTAACACGCTGAGTGGTATACCTTTTGATACTGCGTCATTCGCTAATCTATCCGCAAGTTAATTACCTGCCAATCCTATATGAGATGGAATCCATTGAAATGTTACCCTCTTATTTGATGCTTCCAGCTTACAAATAGCCTTCAATATCTTATACGCTATCGGAGCTCCTCAAAAAGTCGAGGTGCACCGAGCAATATGTTGGAGCGCGCTTTTGGAGTCCGTAAAGATAACAAAATTTTTGAAATTACTAATACTGTTGATATACTCCAAAGCCTCATACAAGGCAAACAACTCAACATACATAATAGAAATTACTGATTCAATTTTAAATTGGATATCAGTATGAGATTCAGGGTCGTAAATAGCAGCTCCGATACCTTTTTTGCATTTAGAACCATCTGTGTATATTTTATAAAAATTTCTATATTCAATATTAATCATTTCCAGACTATTGCTTTTTAAAACCGTAGCATCTACTAACCGTTTCGACTGTCCAATGTTATTTATAGAGCAAAATATCTTATTATCTAAATTAATATTTTGTACCCATGTGTCAAGACAAAACATTTCCAATTTTCTAGAAGATCGAAAAGGGTAACATTTCAATATTCCATGGACTGACGCTAAGACCGGTTTCTTTTTATTCGCCCAATAATTCGAATTATTGCATTGTACCGACAGCTGACCGATTACATCAATATTTCTATTATCTTGTAAAGCACGACTCTTCAACCAATACTTTCCTCCTAGGTACATTCTACGAATGTGAAGTGGTTGAAAGACTAGCTCACTTTTCATTACGTGTATTGGGGTACTCTTGATGAACCCCCCAATCACACGCATACACTGATTTTGAACCTTATCAAGTTTATAAAGATGGGATTTAACACTTGTATCATATATAAAGCTTGCATAGTCCATTCTACTACGTATAACCGAAATATATAATCTCCTTAAATGTTTAGGATGTAAGCCCCAGTCAGTGCCAGCTAATATTTTAAGAATATTCAAATATTTTTGAGTCCTGTCAGTAATTTCGTTTATATGCTTCCCCCATTTTAAAGACCTATCTAACCAAACCCCTAAGTACTTAACACTTTCTACTAATTGAATTCGAGTTCCTTTTAAGTTGATGTTTACTTCTTGTCTAATGTTTAATCCCTTTCCGAAACAAACATATTTTAGTTTTTCTTTCAGATATCTCTAAGCCAAGACCTTCAATCAGTTCACACAATTTATTAAGAGCTAACTGCAACTGTACACATCCCTCTCCTATATACTTATATGATCAGTATAGTACGAAATCATCAGCGTATTGAGAAATATGTATGTTAACAATATCATGGCAAATATCCCTAGTAAGTACATTGAATAAGATTGGAGATAAAGGGTCTCCTTGTGCAAGTCCACGATTTGTTGATCTGGAAATGAAATTGAAATGAAATTTATTTATTTAGTAGCAATTCTTTTACGTATACAAAAAAAAATGGCTGCGATGATACTGGAAAAGTATAAACTGCGTTGTTGATAATAATATGTCCGCCTCCGTACAATATTTAAACTATTTTATAGAAACAAAATAATAATAAGATGATGATGATGATGTGTATGTGTGTGTGTGTTTGTTTTTGTGTTTGTGAATGCAAGTCTTTAATAAACAATGACCAAAAGTCTCTTCATACGTAAAGGTTCAAAGCCATGCTAAACATTCAGATTTACAACAATAAAATATGAGCGGATATGTAGGTATGTCTAGTTAATAATTTACTATAGAGTAAACAGCTTAGATTTTGTTAGTGTCGTTTTGTAACCGCGGTTCTTGCAGAATAAATTTAACATATATCGTGGGATCTGCGTTTAGTACATAATATACTAGGTAGGTATATAAGGTAGCTCACAGTATTACGAAGAACCGTTTGTAAAAAAACGTTTCCGTACGGCTTATCCATTTCTACTACATTTACGTTCTACTGAGAGGTAAAGAACTAAGACAAAAAAAAAAACACAAACAAGTTGTTATTGATATTATACTTTGAAAATTACAGCAATTATTTATTTAAGCCTCAAACCGCTAAATACTGCCTAGTTTCCATAGTTTAATTTCAAATATATTTGGATTATCTAGCGATGTCACCTTACGGTGTCGCCCGAAGGTGGAAATCCAAGCACTTATATACTATATACTTAATATGTATTATTATATTGACCTCTATTATCTTATAATATTAAATGAGCAATTCTTGTCCATACTAATGTTATAAAGTGATAGTGTATTTGTATGTTTGTCCTTCTTTAACGTCTAAACAGAGTGACGGATTGGCGTGATTTTTTGTTTGGAGATAGTTGGAGGGTTGGAGAATGACATAGGCTACTTTTTACCGTAAGAGATTATCTCATTCCCACGAGAAAGCATATTATAGTACAACCCAAAACAACTCTTCATACCTATACCCTTAAATCGTACACAGGGATGACCCCGAGCTTATTTTATGTATATCTCGAAAACGGCTCTAATGATAAAAATATGTATGTAAATGCGTATCTTATGTAGTTTTTTTTAAATATGCTGGCACATTAACACACAGTACCATCTAGTTCCATGATACGAGCTACGAGGCTTGTGTTATGGATACCAGATAGTTGATACACTGCACATATATAAGTTTAAATACATACATATTATAAATAATGATTTGAATTAAATTAGATATTTAGATACGGTTTTGGTTTAGGTTAAGGTAAGTTTATCTAATTACTAGCATTGCCCGCGGCTCCGCCCGCGTTCAGATGACCAAAAACTAAATTCTTATGTTTTACATATTAGTATACTCTTACATTGCAGTTTTTGTATTTTTTCTCAGAAATGAGACATTTAACTGGAAAACGCCAAACGAAGCTCGGCCTAGGTACTTATTTAATTTAGTGAGAGACGAAAGCAGTGAAATATCTGCTTTCAAAATAAATATGCTTTGTGTAGTATATTCATAATACAAGTAATAAATAACACAAAAAAACTTTGTATATTTATAATAAAAGAGAATTCTAAGTGTTGAGTCTACGAGTATAGAACAAAATAAACCTCCTTTCACTTGGTGCTGAATATTAAACAATTTTATCTGAAGGTATTGCAACGTTATAAAATGTAACTTTTAACTTTTAAATAAATATAACTTTGTAAGCCATCTCTGCGCAAAGATAATATAAAATATTCATAGTTTTATATATATTATTTGTAGAACTCATAGTTTCTAAATAAATTTCTTCAAAGTGGAATTGTAACTTCAGCCTTTATATTTCCTTCATAGATGTAAATTTATAAGATTATATAAGGCCTTGATGATTTGGCTCCAGTATTTTAAAAAACAAGTTAGCTTATAGTTTGGTTTCTATAAGATTAACCGTACTTCTTATCTAAAATGGATTTATTACTATACACAAATACTTAATGTTAAATGAAGCTTACCGCAATACATTAGTGAAAACCATACACAAATCGGTAGAGCCATTTCTGAGATTAGCGCGCACAAACACACAAACAAAAATTTAAAAAATCATTGTTTTGGGTTTTATTATGTTAATAAAGATCCCTAGTAATATCGTTCATGTATAAACAGATCAGTAACACTTTTATTATATGTATAGATTTTATTTTATATAACCTAGACAATAGATAAATAGTTTTAGAGCAATAGAATGAAAATCCGTCTAAAAGTTTAAAAAATATATATATACATAATATGTTTATACATATTAAAATTCATTATGAAACCAAAATATTATTAAACAAATTATTGGTTCAAATTAATTTGAACTATTCTCAAAGTTTGAAATTAAAGTCTGAAACCGTGAATGTGATGATTATACCTACTTATACCTACCCTTCTTTTAGTTGTGTGAGCCGGAACTAAAAACATTTTAGCATTTTTAATTTAAAGCATTTTAAAATAAAAAAGATGAAACATTTTTAAAGAAAAATATCTGTAGAGCTAAAGTTGTTCTTAAAAATGACTTTTGATTCTTACAAACTTATACGAAATCGTTA